CTAATTTACTGTACACTTTAGGGGGAAAGTTGTCATCATCACTAATGTTGCCTCAAAGTGAGGCAAAACGCCGGTAAACTACTCTCAGTTTGCAGAAATGCATGCCAAGCACGCTGAGAGAGGTTTAAGCATCCTGGCCTTCCCATCCAACCAGTTTGGGCATCAGGTATGGGGGGCAAAAACATTTTTAATGCTCTTAAAGCTAATAAATACTGTGATCTAATAATACGTTTTTGTTCAGGAACCAGGAACAAATGCCCAAATCAAGGAATTCGCCGAGTCTTACAACGCACAGTTTGATATGTTCAGTAAGATTGACGTGAACGGCGACTCGGCGCACCCTCTGTGGAAGTGGCTGAAGGAACAACCAAATGGGAAAGGATTCCTTGGAAAGTGGGTTGCCAGATAATTTAACTTAGTTGACTTGTAAATTCTGTGGAAATAAATGCTTATTTGATATAGGCTAAGTAGATTCAATGGATAGTCCAGCCAAAATTGAAACGTATGTTACTCAATCTTCTGTGGAACTTAAAATAAGATATTCTGAAGAATGTTGGTAACCAAACAGTTTCTGTTCCCATTGACTCCCATTGTTTTATTGTCCATTTGTGACCCTGGAGCACAAAAGCAGTCTTAAGTCGAAATTTAGCAAATTTATCCTCTGCAGTGAATGGGTGCCGTCAGAATGAAAGTCCAAATAGCTGATAAAAACATCACTGTTTTCCACCCGACTCCAGTCCATCGATTAACGTCTTGTGCGAAAATCTGCGTGTTTGTTAGAGAAAAGAAGTCCTTTATCCATAATACCACTTTCTCCAGTGAAAAAGTCATCTCATCTGAATCAGGAGAGATCAGCACTATGCTGTTATCTATATGTGTAGATTATATCTGCATTTAGTATAGAATATAGACTGGAATTTTGGCCAGAAGCGATGGTTTAAAGTTAAAATATTGACTCATTCTGACGGCACCCATTCACTGCAGAGGATCCATTGGTGGGCAAGTGATGTAATGCTAAATTTCTCCAAATCTTGGATGGCCTGAGCATGAATACATTTTCATCAAATTTAAATTTTTGGGTGAACTATACCTTTAATAGAGCTGCACTCTAAAAACTGTTTAAATATCTATTGACTGTTGTTTTTATTCCATTATAGTGGCATCAAATGGAATTTCACTAAGGTTTGTGCGTTTTCCCTTTGAATTATGCTAATTAAAAGCATATTATGAATTAAATCTTGTATTTTAAACATGAATACTTACTTACCAATTATTAGTATGATTAAAAAAGTTTAATTTGCTATCAATTTTTGTGTTTTCTTTTCAGTTCCTTATTAACCGTGAAGGCCAGGTTGTGAAGAGATACTCCCCATTACAGGATCCAAGCGTAAGTTGTATTAATCTTTGATTGTATTTTAATCTGAGTCATAAACTAGGCCATGTTTAAGATTAGCTACAGTATCTAATTATCACAGTGACATTGGCACACAAAATATATTATGCCTAAATATCTCTAAGGAGCATCATTAGCTGACTGTCAAATTACCGCACGCTGCCCTGCCGCCCCTCTTCATTCTCCCCGACTGACCGCTGGGTATCAGTGATGGCGTCTCATGGACTAATGATGGTTTGTCTGGAAACCCCTCTTGAGGAAAGAACAGACCTGATGCATTTGGCGTGCAACCCCTCCTGAGAGCATCATCAGTGCCCAGCATCACTCTGGAGAGAGACCCCCGCTCCTTCAACTGCCCCTATGCTTTGAAAAGAAAATATGCACATTTATTTAGAACTAAACATGTTGTCATAGTGTAAAATTTCTTAATAAATGCAAAAAGATTAATTTTAACATTTGTTGGTGTTTTGTTGATGTCAGTGAGCCAGCGTTATTTTAGTATCATTGAGGTACTATTATAGTTTTTTATTTTATTTTGATTATTATTATTATTATTATTATTATTTTACTATTTTTGAATTCGTTTTTATTTTCGTATTTTTCATTTTCATTCAGTTAAAGTATTAGTAATTTTGTGGTGTTTTTGTTGTCATTTTTGTTAGATGTTTTTTTAATATATGGCTTTATTTTTTTTTTTTATAAATTTTTATTTCAGTTTTATTAATACAAAATATTAATGTTGCTTTGGCAGTTAGCTGGAATAAAATAAGTTAATTTCTCTTTAAATTATTATTAGTTTAGTTAATGTTTATTTTATTTCAAGTATTTTTTTAATGATTTTATTTTTTGTTAAACTATAATAACCCTGAAGTGAGCTTGAAATATTTTATATAATGATTGCCCAGGAAAACTGTAAAATCAACATTGATATAATAATATTAATAATTCTCATAATATTTATATTATAAACACTCTATATGTACACACACAAAGAAATAATATTTGTTATTTATTGTATATGCTCACTGCTTCATTTAGATTCAGATTCATTAAAGATTATTGTTATTTTTCATTAATTAATATTTTGTAAGAACAACCTAACAGTGAAAACAACACTTTTGGGATTATATTATATTATACTTTATATTATATTAAAACTGAACAAATTTTAATTAAGTCGTATATATGAGAGTTAAGCCTTTCTTCCGACGTGTATTAATGAACATTCACCAACAGAGAGCAGCAGCAGCCTCATCCAAACACTCAGCAGCTCCTGTGTATGCGTTTGGAAGTGCGATTCATCTTGACGAATCGACTCCTTCGTTTCGGTTCAATGAACCAGTTCAAAAAGTCAATTGTTTTGATAGTCATCATGTTCGTTTTCTTAATGACGGAAAAAACTCGCTGTTTGTCACTTTGGTTATATTTAATTAGATACTGTGTCAACATTGTGTTGTTTATTCAATGCGAAATTATACTTTTCGCCCAAATACCATTTGTTACAGTAACGCTGTAAAATGCTAAAGTTCATGCAAGTAGCGTAAGATGCTTTCACAATATCTGTCGTAATTTCTTTCTTAATTTCTTAATTTCTAGTAACAAGTATATGCTGACAAACAAACCGCAAAACCAGGGGGCTGTTTCATAAAACAAGTTTACCAAACAAGCCAGGCTTATTTCATTTATTCTGACTTGTTTTTAACCAAATCAACTGACAATAAGTCAGACTAAATGAAATAAACCTGGGGCCTGTACCATGAAGCTGGTTTAGCTGGCTAGCCAGGTAAGTTTCAGTTTAGTTTGCACCAATCCTGGGTTTTAGGTACCATGAAAGTGGCTTGGCTTTTAGCAGCATTCATTGCCTTAGTAACTCACACTCCACAGCTAACCTGCTCTAGGGCAGGTTATGTTCTGGTTTAGAGATCTCAAAGTGAAATTTGACCAATCAGCTTTAAGCAAAGTGACACATCTCTGATGCAATAAAGCCACTCCACCAGTTTCTCTTACTCCAAATTAAAGGACGAGGCATGTGATTGGCTGTTCATTACTGATGTCACTCTTTCATGTGCACGTGCTCACGGATCACGGAATTTAGGATCAAGCCTGAGTTGACAGAGAAAGTTAATGATCAGCTTCATTGTACCAACAAAGCCGGATTGGACTGGTTTGGTTTTGACAACTCAAAACTAATCCTGTAACCCAGAGTTTGTTCAGCCACCGTCATGGTACAGGCCCCTGGCTTATTTGCAGTGCTGGGAAGGTTACTTTGGAAATGTAATAAATGACAGATTACAAGAACAAGTTACCCTATCTAAAATGTAATATGTAATGTAACTATTTCTATTACTTTAATAAAGTAATGTAACTGATTACATTTTGATAACTTTTCTAAATTTCTAATGTTTTCAACTGTTAATTATTTTCAAACATGTAAACCAGGAAGGGTTAACCTTACAGAATCATTACTGTCAGACTTTCGAAATCCTTCATCATTTGAATTTATCACTTCATTACTTGAGATTACAATAATTTAATTTTAGAGCACAGCCACCACAAAATCAGACTTACTTTGAGATCATTCTGAGGTTAAATACAGATTTAAAATCATAACAAGAAATAGTTCAGTAGCTATGATACTGTTTTTGAAGCCATATCTTTGCATAGTAATGACAGGAAACACTGGCATCTAACAATGCCCTTGAAAAAATAGTTAATTTAAGAAAAATAAAGCAGATACATAAACACAAATAGGATTGAATAAGCATGTGTCCTATTCTGTGTCCTAAACTCAAAAAGAAATCCAATAAATCTCTCTCCCTCTCTCTCTTTCTCTCTCTCTCTCTCTCTCTCAATTCAATTCAATTCAAAATTGCTTTATTGGCATGACTGTAAATGATACAATATTGCCAAAGCTTAGTATACATGTACAAAAAGATAAAAATAATAATATAATAACAATAATAAGTAAATGAACATCACAGTAATATAATGGAATATTATAACATTAACAGAAGTATTAAACTGTAACAAATTATAACATGTGAACATTTGATATTGGAATTTTTTCTTGATTGCGTATAGAGCTCTTCGAGCTTTATCTTTGAGAGCATTCACTGCCAAACTGAAACTCCCCGATGCAGTGATGATCAGGCCGAGGTAAGTGTACTGCATCGTGTGTTCTAGGGCGGTGCTGCCGAGACTGAACTGGTATCTGTGTTCCTGACATCTGGGCTTTTTCTGAAAGACCATAATGTTGGTCTTTTTGAGGTTTACTGCCTCTCTCTCTCTCTCTCTCTCTCTCTCTGTGTGTGTGTGTGTGAAAATTCAGATGTAACCCCCTTTGTAATCGTTAACATTTTCATAAGTAGGCTAACTGTAATGTAATTACACATTTTGTTCTCGTAACTGTAACTGATTACAATTACATTTATTTTGTAATTAAATTACGTAATAAAGTTACATGTAACTAGTTACTACCCAACACTGCTTATTTGGTAAACTTGCTTATTTGGTAAAACAGGCCCCAGCTCAAAATGATTTGCGAGTCTCCTAGCGAATCGGTTCAATTCAATCTGTTCAAACGAACGATTCATCCGCGAATCGAACATCCCTATCATGTGCATGACAGCTCAGAGGAGAGCAGGAGGACCACGACGCGCAGGGACAGTACTCAATCTCCCACCTTATTTTTTGTCAGCTAATCACATTCATATACACTGAGAGGAAAAGCTGTGTATGTTTTGAAATATTGGCGATCATCGGTTGACAGCGCTCTCGCTCGGAGGATTCATCCCGGGATATTGAATGGAAGCGGCGGCTGAAGGGGCGGCCAGCCTGTCTGAGGCCGGGGATGGGAGTCCGTTATCCGGGGCTGCAGCATCCGAGGACGCGGGGACGGCGGACGGCATGGACTGGGGTAACCAACAACTTGGGTTTGATTCGAAAGAAGGTGTTAAGAAAGACATCGGTTCATGCAATCTCATCTGATTGATTCATAGGTGGTTGGGATTCACATGGATAGAGCTAGCAAAACTAGCATTCATGCATGGATTTGAACACTGATGCATGAGGTTTATCATACAAGCATCAGATTATTAGGGTTCACATTCTGCCACAGTCAGTGTGCATTAATGTATGTATAGTTTTATGGGCATATTGTCAGGAGGATGGTGTGACAATGAGGTTCAAACCAGATTCAGCGAGCTAGCCATCAGCAGGGACCCTGGGCAGATGACAGATGGGATGGTGGGGGTTTCAGGTGAGAAACGGGGTAAAGGGTGTATTACATTTGTTTAGGATAAATGCCATCAAATATGCCAATTAAATGCATAAAGGATGACATTACAATAATGTTTTGATTTGTAAAGGATTCCTTAGATCAGTAAAATAGGTCTTTACTTTTATGCATGTGTGGTGCAAGTTCTCATTGTTTTGAATATTTTTAATATTCAAACACGAGCCATTTTTCTTTCTTAAGTTATTAGAGTGTGTGCAATTGCTCGGTAAGTCTTAGAAACATATTTTAACACTAATATGACTACTATATAAACACTAATATTACACTAAAAAGTCCCGTGGTAATACAATGGCCGTAATATTTTCATTTTAATAATTTCTAATTATTAATAATGGTAAAACATAATATTTTATTCATTTTTATAATTACAACTAATAAATAAGAATGAAGAAAAAATAATTTGGTCGTTTGTACGATAGAGTTCAGATGTCACTTTTTTGTTGTTGTTGGTGCAGAATCTTAAATTTCTTATTAATTTACATCATAACCTTTTTTGGTAACAGTTTACTTGAAGCCTTTATATTAAAAGTATTTTTAAAAACGTTTTAATTATGCACCTTATAATGCATTGTATGATCTCATGAATAATTGTAACGTCAGTTATTGTACATTATAATAGTTATATATTTATCATTACACCTTTAGAAACTATAATGCATTAAAACATCTGACAAACAACCAATTGCAGATCAAACAAGGAATCTGCAAATATTATAATAGCTTTTAATTTTGGCTACAGTTATTTATGAAAAGATATAATGTTACATTAGTACATTACATGTACAAGTACATCATGAATGCTTTTATAATGCATTATACATGAAGACTTGAAGTAAAGCCGATTTTTATGTAAAATCTACCTAAACTTAAATAAAAATAGTAATAATATTAAATAAAATCATTAAGTTTTCTGTTTATTTCATGGTTTAAAGTTGATTATTTAACTATGATATATTAAAAAAGAAGCCTTGTGCTTGATTGATATATGATGATAATTTCAGATTTTCAGTTCCATAACAGTTACTGTATCTATCAAATACACTCTTGTTTCTGCCTCTAAAGCCCCGTTCACACCACGAACGATAACTATAAAGATAACGATGTTAGAGTCCACACCAGCGAACGATATCGTCTGTTTATTCTAAGCACACGCGTGTCTGCCGCTTTAAATTCTTGAGCTCGTTATAGCAGGATGGATTCTGATTGGCTGTCAATTTTTTATCGTTCATCAGCTGGAGAAAAATCGTTTTGAAAGTGATTCCAACGATATCGTTTCACTTTGTCTTTATCGTTATAGTTGTGGTGTGGACTCTGCTATTCTTTAATATTGAGAACGATTTTTAGAACTATATCTTTATCGTTATCTTTATAGTTATCATCCTTGGTGTGAACGGGCCTTTAGAGACAGTTTTTTTTCTCCCCAGTTCTCCATTTGTGTTTTTTCTTCTTTTAATTAGTCGCGTATCTGTGTGTGAGGTGTCAGTGATCGCATTCACATGCATGATATGCTGATAACCAAAAATCACCTTATTCAGCAAACCCGAGAAGCTACAGTTCAAATGATCAGTTTTTACTGTGCACACACAAAACCAACTATGACCTTTTCATGACAAAAAAAGTTAGTTTTCTTGGGTTATTAAACATAATCAGTGTAAGATCATACTTGTAAACCCACTTTATGAAATTTATTAAAGAGCACAAAATGTGATCCACTCCATAAAGTGCCTGTTCAGTATGTACTTAAGATTGACCTTTCTCCAGCTTATTGTTGACTAGATTTATTCTTTTGCATATGCGTGGAGGCTTTGCAAACTGCATTGTGGTTACTGTTTTTCAAAGACATAAATGTCAACGCAATTGGCCTGTAGTAAATGCCACATACTGTCTTGCGCTCCAGTCTCATCATCTACTTTTTAATCACTAAATGTGCATCCAAACAGGGACGGTTCACTCCCTGAATTCCCCTGGCACTGGCGTCTCCAGCCTCGGCATCCTCCTGTTTTGATTGGTTTGCTCCCCATCGTCTCCCGTGTAGATGTGTGTGGGAAAACATGCTGACTGTTGAGCATGCAATCGCATGACACGTGTCTCACGATGGTCTGTGAGTCATTTTCGCACCTGAAGTGATTTGGACGCCATCATCCACCCTTGTTTTCTTGGGTTTTTATGTTTTGTTCGTAAAATCAGATTCAAGTTTGCAGAGTCACAGGTATAAAAGAGTTCTTTGGCAGCGTTTTTGTCCAAACATGACGCAAATCTCAACAGGATAAAACAAAATTTTACATGCGCTTAAAATTATTAGCGTTTTTTAAAGATTCACTCTAAGTGAGTGTTGGATGATAAGGTAATCTAGGAAAGGTAATCTAAATGTCAAAATAGGAGAATTAACGCTCAGATGAATATTCAAAATTGACCGATGCTAGTAAAAAAAAAGTCTCTATAATCGGATGATAATCAATAAAATACTGATATATTATGCATTCATGTGCAAAACTCGCAGCCACAACGCTAGGGTGTTAGTGTGTAGTTGCTAGATTTGGGTGGTAACTAGGGCGACATTTTTTCACAAGTTGCGAATTTCATTTATATGCAAAAACTTTAACATCGCAAAACAATTCAAACAAAACATACTTTTTCAGTACGATTGTTTCTTCTCAGGTTGAGTTATTCAGTCACATGTCTTCTTACCTCAAAATTTACCTCAAACAAGAATAGTTTGTATTGGTAATTTGTTGCGCATTGGCATCGTAGTTTCATAATGCAGTATACCAAAATTTGCCAAAATCCACCAGTATACCATAAATACATGGCTGGCTCAGGTTCTGCCTTCAATGTAAGAATTTGTGATTTGTTTGCTTACTTTGTATTGTTTTATTGTTGCGAAAATTGTGTTTGAATGTCTAGAAAAGTTGAATCCACTTTATTTAGTACAAATTTCTTGTGAATGTGCGTGACTTCAGATTAGCTGCATTAGCCGCTAATAACTAGAAGAATAACAAAATAAACAGTAAAATTATTTGTGCTACCAATGTATGTATGATTCTGATAATAAATTAAAATAATATGGTAACAAATACCGGTTTAGATGCCAATCGTTGCGACCAGAAGATTGTGCGAGTCAAGAACTGGTTCAGTCTGATTTATGAAGAAATTATTCGTAGTGCAATTAACAATTTTCTCTACCAATCACTGTTTATTAAGATCATGATAACAAATTAAAATAATATAATTTAACTGGAAGCGTTGACGCCAATAGCCTTGTGGGCAAGTGCGCCGACATATAGTGCCATTGTGCTATGGGCGCCCTGAGTTCAAATCCCAGCTTGAGGACCTTTCCCGATCCCAGCCCCCTCTCTCTCCCACTTTGCTTCCTCTCTGTTCTACACTATCTTATCATAACAAAGGCAAAAATAAATCTTTAAAAATAATTTACATGGAATGCCTCGCACACTGTAATCTTAAAAATAAAACGGTGGATACTTTAGAGTTTAATACTTGCAGTTAGAGGTTTGTTCAAAGCTTTAAATGTGAGCTATAATAATACTTTTTGCACATGGTAATATAGTTATTGCTCTCATTTCGCCCGGTCTGAATGATAAATATCTGTTGTTGTTCAGTTCAGTGGCCGTCTTACTTGGCTCATTAAGAGCAGCACTGAACCAATAATAACCGAGATAGGAAAAGATCTTTATTGTAAATTAATTATAAATCGATTTTGAGGTTATTACCGCTAAGTGGACTGTCTAAAGCACCCACTTCATTATCGTCGTGTGATGGTGGTAGTAAATGTACACAATTAAAGCATCTGTGAAATCCAGACATGGCTTTCTTGGTTTATACAAATAACATCCCATGAGATCAAACCCTAGGCTATACTCAAAGCCGTATAGTGTTGTGCCCGCTGATATCGCTTTGCAAAACAGGGCAGGTCTGTTTGCACACTCCATCTATTTCCTCTACTCGTGTTATTCTAAAAGCTCAGACTGCCGGGAGTTTTCAAGCTTTGGTGAGAAATGGAAAACAAGCAAGAATTGCATAATGGTGTCTCTCTCTATTCCTTGCCCCCCTCGCTTATGCCCTGAAGAGGATGGAGCTTTTTATAGGCCAGCCTGCAGACAAGACCAGGGTTCTGGAAGACACTCAATCCCATCGGCCCTACCTCAGAGGGAGTAGGGCGTCTCCTACAAGAGGACGCAAAGTCATTCTTTGACACATTTGTGTTCAAGGCATCATAACAAAACCTTGTTTATGGAAACTTACCAAAAGATGTGTGTTCCGGTAAAGAAAGCAACACGAGAGACTCCCGCAAATCCTGTAGAATTAAACCAATCAGATGTGTCAAGTGTTTCCAATTTTGTGTGCCATATGCATTAGATGTTCAGCCACGGGCGTGACGTCTGAGGCTGAGACTAAACAAACTCTGGTGTGGTTCAACAAGGGTCAAAAACATCTAAAATCAAAACAGGACGTGGTGTCACAGGATGCAACCCTAAAAAGGACAAAATATTCAAGCATACTTGGTTTTCTTGTACAGTGTACCTACCTAAGGAAGTTCTGGTAATATAAGGTAACTATATGGGGTAGGGGTAGGTTCAGGGTTAGTACCTAGTTATTACCTAGTTATTGTTATTACTATAATAAATACATACTACATAGTATGAGGAACATGACTGTAAAATAAAGTGCTACTGCCCAAAGTATACTTCACGAATGCTAAGCCTATGTATACAGCCAAATGCATAGCTTTTTAAAGTATACTCCATTTGATAGCATGCGCAAATCCGTTTTATCGTCAGCCAGGTGAAAAATCGTAAAGCTTAAAGTATACTTAGCGTTTGCGTACAGATGAACAGCATGGCCTTTTCAAAGTATGCTCCATGTTTATAGCATTCGCAAACCCATTTTATTGTTCGCCAGGTGAAAATTGTAAAGCTCAAACTATACTTGGCGTTTGTGTATCCTTGACCATCATAGCCTTTCAAAGTATACTCCATTTTATGGTGTGCACAAACACAGGTGTTTGACACATGCGCACTATAAAGTTTCATCTTTGTTCAGTGTTTATTTTTTCGAGAAGTTATGAGCAATAAAAAAATGTCCCTAGAGTTGAGGGAATCTCTTGACTCCTGCACACAAGCGCATTGTTGGGTGTCTATTACTTAGAAGAGCTATGAACTTTGAATAAATCTGTTGAAATTCGCAAGAGGAACTTTGTAGTTTTTGTTTTCATCTCTCAGATCAGAAGTGAGCAATGAAAATGGTTTTATGTGCCTCACTGGTGGGTTTACAGTTGCCTGTTTTCTTCGGTTTGCTTTATACAGTTCTGTTTTACCAGATTATGAGCTGTCCCAGTTCATGTTGTCATGGTTTTACTTCCAGAATTTAGATTTTTGCAGTCATACCACATGATATCCTTTACTCAAAGTAGCATATATATGCTAAATCTTTGGTAAATTTAGTCCTATATAATGAATGTTAGCTTGAGGTGTCAAGTGACACTCCAAGGTTCTGTCGTCAAGTTCTTAATTTCAAGTCCATTTTGAGCTGGCTGTGATCACACCTATCCAAAGTGATTTCAGGAGGTGTTGTGTTAATTCATTAGCACTAGAGATGTTATGAGCTGTAACCTGTGGTTTAGAAGTTTGTCAAGTTCAATATGGCTTGAAGGAATTTGAACGCTATCTCATAATAGAATAAGAATGCTATGTTGTTTAAGTAACTCAGTTGATTTTCAGCTAATTTTATAATCCTTTAGCTATGAATGATATTACCATCAGCTCTGTTTAACCCAGTTGACCAGATGGTTTAAACAGATTTCCATTCAAAATCAGTTTTTGAACCTTGACTTTTAAACTGTAATACAGTAAACATGTTGTGCATCAAAATGTAACTTAGCCTGCATGAACGGTCAATTTAAATCCCAATTACATTTCTTCTGTTCATATAGAACAGGGGTGGCGAACTCCGGTACTGGAGAGCCTCAGCCCTGCAGAGTTCAGCTCCAACCCTAATAAAAACTCACCTGCCTGTAGCTTCCTAGTAACCGTTCAGACCTTGATTAGCTTGTTCAAGTGTGTTTGATTAGGGTTGAAGCAAAACACTGCATGGCTGCGGCTCTCCAGGACCGACGTTCGCCACCCCTGATATAGAATTAAAAAGCAGATTTTTGCTGGTCTAATGCTCTTTATTAGATGTGTGGTCGACCCTGGCTAGCGGAGAATAGCAGAAATCCTGCTGCATGTTTGTGCTCCAGCTTGAACTGTGGCCAAACCTATCATTGGTGAACAAGTTCTTGGAAAAAGCTCTTTTAAGGAGAACCACAATGTTGCCCAAACAGCTTCAGGATCCCACATTGACTGCTGGATCCAGAAATAACAGGACAACTAACTTGGTCACGAGGCTTGTTGGTGTGGATGTGCTATTTGAAAATGGAATGGAAAATTGGTTTGTTTGGGACATTGCACCCATCATGTTTTTCCTAACTTTGTGCGTCCAACTTTTTTCCATGTACGGTACAACAACAAATTTACCAAAAGCTTGAAGCTTGCTGGTGGAATTTATATAGGGATTATAGCTGGACATTAGGTAGTCCAAGCTATCCATTAGTGCTGATAACTGATAGAACATCTTTGACTAGCAGCAAACCAGCTTCCAGTTGGTTATGCCATCTTAGCTGGTCTACCAGCTTGTGGTCCAGATGGTTGACCAGCTGGAAACCAGGTACCATGTTCCAAAACACAGTTACCATCCTAAAGGTGTAGTTCACCCAAAACTACAGTGAGACAAGAACCGATTGAGTCTAATTTGTGAACAGATCATTCAAGGTGGTTTCAAATGATTCATTAAAGATCTGACTCAAACAAATTATTTGTTCACTATCACAAAATAATATATGTCAGATGTTAAGATTTTCCCCTGTAATTAATATCTAATTGTAGTGACCAGAGTCAGTAAGTCAGAGACTGGTTCATTCTGATTTGTAAATTAATAATTCTGATTTTGTGAACCACTGAAATGATTCATTGAAGATCTGACTCAAAATAATTATATGTTTGCAGTCACAAATTAATGTATTTAGGGCAGATGTTAAAGGAACACTCCACTATTTTTGAAAATAGGCTAATTTTCCAACTCCCCTAGAGTTAAACAGTTGAGTTTTACCGTTTTCGAATCCATTCAGTCGATCTCCGGGTCTGGCGGTAGCACTTTTAGCTGCAGCTTAGCATAGATCATTGAATCTGATTAGACCGTTAGCATCTCGCTCAAAAATGACCAAAGAGTTTCGATATTTTTCCTATTTAAAACTTGACTCTTCTGTAGTTACATCGTGTACAAAATGAAAAGTAGCGATTTTCTAGGCCGATATGGCTAAGAACTATACTCTCATTCCGGTGTAATAATCAAGGAACTTTGCTGCCGTACCATGGCTGCAGCAGGCGCAATGATATTACGCAGCGCCTGAAGATAGTCCCCAGCTAGGTAACGTCCAACGGAAGGCACGCTCCCTGTGCAAGCAGGTGGTCACGTTGGTTATGTTGGCGGAAGTTAGCCTATTTTCAGGCGCTGCGTAATATCATTGCGCCTGCTGCAGCCATGGTACGGCAGCAAAGTTCCTTGATTATTACGCCTTACGAGTTCCTTTAAGATTTCCCCTCTAGTTAGCTGCTAATTGTTGCAAACGTATTATTGATTCAGTAAGTCAGGAACTGATTCATTCTGATTTGTGAACAAATTGTTCTAATTTTGTGAACCATTTCAAATGATTTTTTGAAAATCTGACTCAAATGAATAACTTGTTCACAATCACAAACTAAGTTAGGGCAGATGATTTGATTTTCCCCTCCGCTTAGCTACTAATCGTTGTGACTGGACTATTAAGTCACTAAGTTAAGAACTTACTAATTTTGATTTGTGAATGAATTGTTCAGATTTTCTGAATTATTTCAGATGATTCTTAGAAGATCTGACTCGAAAGACAAACTAATGTGGTCAGGATAGATGTTAAGACTTTCCCCTCTAGTGAGCTTCTACTTGTTGCAGCCAGATGATTGAGTCATTAAGTCAAGAACTGATTCATTCGGATTTGGAAGGAATAATTTTTATTTTCTGAACCAATTAGAATGATTCATTGAAAATCTGGCTCAAAAGAATGGTTCATTCACAAACTAAGGTAGTTAGGGCAGATGTCAAAATTTTCAGTAGGAATTCCTCAAATTATGGTTTGCTTGTCACACGAAGTTGTCAAATAAGTTCAATATAAGTCATATAAACCACTTTTATGATGTATTTTTTTTAAGCTTAAAATCTCCAGATTCATTCTTTGTAAAGGAAATGAGCAACCAGCACATTTCTCAGAATTTCTCCTTTTCTATTCTATGAACAAAAGTTAGAAACGACATGAGAGTAAGTAAACAGAAAGTTAATTTTTGGGTTAAAGCTGTTTTTAGCTGGATTTTCCAGCAGGCCCGTCATCTTAGTTTTGCTGTTGCTTTCTCACTGCATGGCTATGAGCTGCTCTGTCTAGCGGCCAATGCCCTATTTAGTGTGTCTGTTGATGCCACATGCATATGCAATTTCCGAGAAAGCTTGTTGGCCTTGATTGGGATGCCATGGAAACCGAGGAACACGGCTGAATGGGAGCGTGTGCGGATGCATCTGGGACGACTGTGGGGTGAGAAGCACAGCTCAAGAAATCCAGCCGTCATCTTCACATGGTGTATTTTTATCCAACCATCTTTGTCAACAAACGTCCCAGTCGCTGTTGACAGCTGCTGCTGATGCTTGAGGGGCGGCGACAGAATATAAATGCAGGTTGAATAATGAAGTTGGCTGATGCTGTCTGACCCGCTGACTCTTGAAGTCTGGTTATAATTGCAGACGAATATATCTTCATAGGTTTTGTTTATATTTTTACACAAATCTGATTTGGTTTCAAATCATGATCTTTAGGGATGACTATCGGCGCTTTCATTTTGCAAATGATGCAATCTGATATTTTTATTCAGATATTGTTGTTAATATCCGATCAATCACTTTTCTTTTTCTTTCCTAGACTCTACATCGAAAAAGGCTTTCATAACAGAGGTACATTGCTTTTCTCACATATCAACAATATCTACTGTTAGACTGCAGATGAACCTGTTTATGCAGGGATTGCAGGTTGGTGGTATCTCATATTTACACTCTTTATACCAGATGCCTTCATCGTCAGGCCAGCCAGCCCATGGGAAGAAGATCGGACACAGAGGAGTGGACGCTTCTGGAGAAACCACGTATAAGAAGGTGCACTGGGCCTACTCAATTTCAGCAACTTTTTCTTGATTTGATATTGGTTCCGTTCAGATTATTTTAGTTACTTCTAGGGATGGACAGTATATCGGTACTATATCAGCCGATATTAGTATTTTTTAATCTTACAATTTTTTTTTATAAAAAAAACCATAAGATTTTTACATTTAAATTTTTTTAACATTTTTATATCGGTTCATATTGTATATTTAATTGTACATGCCAGTTTCCTCTCTTTTTATATTTGAAATACCTTTGCCATCATCTAATGTTGACCTAAAATTAATCACTTTTTCTAGATTCGATACTGATTACATTCAGATTATTTTAGTTACTTCTAGGGATGGACAATATATCGGTACCATATCAGCTAATATTAGTTTTTTTATCTTACATTTTTTTATTTAAAAAAATGCAAAAATTATTATTATTTTTTTTTTTTTTTTACATTTTATATCGGTTAATATTGTATATTAAATTGTACATTAATATCCGATCAATCACTTTTCTTTTTCTTTCCTAGACTCTACATCGAAAAAGGCTTTCATAACAGAGGTACATTGCTTTTCTCACATATCAACAATATCTACTGTTAGACTGCAGATGAACCTGTTTATGCAGGGATTGCAGGTTGGTGGTATCTCATATTTACACTCTTTATACCAGATGCCTTCATCGTCAGGCCAGCCAGCCCATGGGAAGAAGATCGGACACAGAGGAGTGGACGCTTCTGGAGAAACCACGTATAAGAAGGTGCACTGGGCCTACTCAATTTCAGCAACTTTTTCTTGATTTGATATTGGTTCCGTTCAGATTATTTTAGTTACTTCTAGGGATGGACAGTATATCGGTACTATATCAGCCGATATTAGTATTTTTTAATCTTACAATTTTTTTTATAAAAAAAAACCTAAGATTTTTACATTTTAATTTTTTTAACATTTTTATATCGGTTCATATTGTATATTTAATTGTACATGCCAGTTTCCTCTCTTTTTATATTTGAAATACCTTTGCCATCATCTAATGTTGACCTAAAATTAATCACTTTTTCTAGATTCGATACTGATTACATTCAGATTATTTTAGTTACTTCTAGGGATGGACAATATATCGGTACCATATCAGCTAATATTAGTTTTTTTATCTTACATTTTTTTATTTAAAAAAATGCAAAAATTATTATTATTTTTTTTTTTTTTTTACATTTTATATCGGTTAATATTGTATATTAAATTGTACATTCAGATTATTTTATTTACTTCTAGGGATGCACAATATATCGGTACCATATCAGCCGATATTAGGACATTTTTAGTGTATAAAAAAATTATTTAATTTTTCAATGTTTTATATCGATTGATGTTGTGTATTTAATTGTCCATGCTAATTTGCCACCATGTAACGTTAACCTAAAATTTATCGTTAAACCAATAATTCACTTCAAAATGAATACAAATATTTTCAGAATGTAAATTTGAATTTTGTAATGCCTAAATTCACTTTAGTGTTTAACATAATTGATTTTAGTTTAAAGTTTCATTTTGAAATTTTTTTTGACAAAATAGTGTTTAATTGTAATATTGACTGTTCATCAGTTATTGGGCGTATTATATACAAAATAACTGCATGTATAATAATAACATGCAAATTATTTTTTGGTTTATCTGTTTCGACCAGAATTGTAATATTGCTAATAAGCTCAGCAGAAATGTGGCATCAGATGACATCTAAACAGAAAATGCAGAAGATCAATCAATGGGTTTAGGGTTAATATTTATGAGACTCACATCATCTATATCCTCTTCAGACCACATCTTCAGCACTCAAGGGGGCCATTCAGCTAGGGATTGGCTACACGGTTGGCAACTTGAGTTCCAAGCCTGAGCGGGACGTCCTCATGCAGGATTTCTATGTGGTGGAGAGCATCTTTTTCCCCAGGTGCGCTGTCTGTCTGAAGTTGAGGGTGGATGTGGAATTTCACAGGAAAAAAAATGATCTTCTCTTTGTTCTTCCAGTGAAGGGAGCAACTTGACGCCAGCCCATCATTTCCCAGACTTCCGTTTCAAAACCTATGCTCCTGTCGCCTTCCGTTACTTCAGAGAGCTCTTCGGGATACGGCCGGATGACTATTTGGTGAGAAATATAAGCTAAAGGCTGGATTTTTATAATAAATGCTTGTATTTATTTAGGATTACTGAAGAATCACTCAAGCAAAATTCATTGTCATTTGTTTATGTGTATCTCAATCTGTGATTGCCTTTAGTATTCGCTCTGTAACGAACCACTGATCGAGTTGTCCAATCCTGGAGCCAGTGGCTCAGTCTTTTACGTCACGAAGGATGATGAGTTCATTATTAAGACAGTCTTGCACAAGGAGGCAGAGTTTTTGCAGAAGCTTCTTCCTGGATATTACATGGTGAGTTGCTGTACTTTGACTGATACATTTCAAAGTAGTGGTCAATCAATAAGTCGGATGCCGATATCTCGAAAGCGGGGTGCATATATTATACAACACATATATATTGCATGATATAGTACAGTCTAATAATAGAAAATGATGTGTAGCCTACATAAAATTAGTGAAATGCTTATTTTAGACAGTAATCCATAATGGTGAGCTAATATTTATGGCCAAATATCAACCTGAAAATAATTATCGGCTTATCAGTATCGGCCAGAATTATTGGTGTAGAATTAGTGATATTGGTTTTCAGTGTCCAATATAATATCTAGAGAGTAAATTAGCTGATAGTTAATATAATGCTGCTAAATATGATGCAGTACATGTATTCTATATTTAATATGTATTGGAACTATCGCCGTATTATCAGCCTGGCTGATATATCGGTGTATCACTGATGCAGACCTTTATACAGTCTTCAGCTGCAGTTTAAGCTAGGATAAAATATACTGTTTATGTTGCATTGTTAAATGTTCTGTATTTTTTGAGAAACATGCTCTTTAGATTTGCTCTCTAGCCCATTATCACATGCTGTCACAAATCAACCGCCTGGTTAAACAACAACACTGCTGATTACCCAACAAGTTATTTTGAACTCATTTCTCCCCCGAGGCGATATGTCTACTATTTACCTGAATAACAAAACAAATGACACAATTAGCATGTAAGCCGTGCCCGTTCCAGTGTTCTGTCTCCAGTGGACCATTTCATTCCACAATATAAGTACAAAAGGGTTCGGTTTCCAAGAGAACATGAGTATTTTTTTGAGTAGATGATGCCTAAATGGGTTCTCAGTGTCAGCAGAGTCTAACCAGCGACTGGCTTGGCTTGTTCCATCCATACATCTGGAGCTAATGAGCCCATGAATGGTGACGGATCAGTTGTTGTTTAGCAACAGTGCTGACCTTGGCCAGTTCGTGGTCTACAGAAACCTGTCTTTATTACTGTCTGGCTCTTTTCCTCATTCTGTTTCTCTTCTTTGATCATATCTTGTAGGACATGTCACCTATGCGAAGGTGATGGGTGTCACAAAGCTTTTCTGGGTTGGATATCCGCTTCATTGCTTTGCTTTTGTGTGGTGATTTTTAAGAGGATTTAAACTCCAAACTAATTGGAATCAGGTGGTTTTACTATGCTCTGGAACATTAACTGGCAAAATGAATGTCATTGACTTAAGAAAGGTTCATATCTTGTAGGACATGTCACCTATGCGAAGGTGATGGGTGTCACAAAGCTTTTCTGGGTTGGATATCCGCTTCATTGCTTTGCTTTTGTGTGGTGATTTTTAAGAGGATTTAAACTCCAAACTAATTGGAATCAGCTCTGGAATATTAACTGGCAAAATGAATGTCATTGACTTAAGAAAGGTGACTTTTGGGGTTGAAATGGAGTGTTTTGTGTCTGGAATGCGGAAAAAAACTAATAACCTTTACCTTAATTTAATGCATAAATGCTTTTAATAAACTTGGATTAACAAAAGTGTGATTTGCATGCCATATAAAAAAAAAATATATATATATATTTTTTACTCTTAGTGGGATTTTGTTATGATAAACAGATGCGTGTTGCAATATTCACATGATTTTTAAAAACATTTATACATACTGTTCCTAATCTGTGTGACTTTTTTCCCCTGTAGAACACAAAAGATGTTTTGATGAATATTCACGGTGCTCTTTTCCAAATTGTGATGCCATCAAGAAATGTCAAAAAAGCTAAATAAAAGTATCATAAATGTTCTTTTTGTGTGAGGAAAAAGCCAAAAAATTATTTGATGAATATCTAATTTTTATTTTCCCATATTCAAACTCGAGTTGCAAGTTCGTAAAACTTGTCACAATACATTTTGGCATGCAAAATTGGAATAAAAATGAATAAATAATGACAAAACTGTAATTTTGGGGAGAAATATTACTTTAAAGAATTCATAAATTAATTGGAAAAGGCCGAAAAGTTGTTTTTTGCTGAATATCTTTCTGTGGGTCTTAAAGTGGTCTTAAAAAGTATTAATTCAACCTTCCACAAATTAAGCCCTGAAAAAGGTCTTAAATCAGAGCTGAAAGTCTTAAATTCATAGTCATGGCATTCAATTTTGTATACACTGCAAAAAACCCCAACAACAATTCAAAACTATTTTCAAACTTTGAAGCGTTGCTAATACAAGACATGTACTTTTAGACATGTTGACATATTGTGTTCCATTCAATTTAATTTAATACATTTTCTTCATCTTAAAAAGTCTTAAATTTACCTTCAGAAAACCTGCAGAAAACCTGTCATTTGTATTTTCACACATTTAAACTTAAGTTGCAAGTTGCAAACTTGTCGCAATACATTTTGGCGCACAAAATTTGAATGAAATGTATTTAATAATGACTAAATAATGTCAAAACTTTAATTTTGGGGTGAAATATTTTGTTAAAGAATTAATAAATTAATTGGAAAAGGCAAAAAATGTGTTTAATTGCTAAATATCTTATATCAGGGTTTCTGTGGGTCTTAAAATGACCCTGTCGTTTGTATTTTCACATATTTAAACTTAGGTTGCAAGTTTGTCAAACCTGATGCAACAAATTTTTGTGCAAAGAATTTCAATATCAGGTGAATAAATGATGACAGAATTGTAATTTTAAAGTGAACTATTCCTTTAAGGAATAAATAAATGCATTATACAAAGCATGTAACCAACAAATACAAATGAACACATTCTTCGACAGATGTTTAGCATTTACGTTTGAATCTTTGTTCGCTTTGACTAAATCGTGTTTGATTTTTCAAATGTTTGTTTCCTACAGAACTTGAATCAGAATCCTCGCACCTTATTGCCCAAGTTCTTCGGGCTGTACTGCGTACAATCAGGTGGGAAGAACATTCGGATGGTGGTCATGAACAACGTTCTGCCCAGGGTGGTGCGCATGCACCTCAAATACGACCTGAAGGGGTCCACGTACAAGCGACGGGCCTCTAAAAAAGAGCGGGAAAAGGCGAAGCCCACTTTCAAAGACCTTGATTTCATGCAGGACATACAAGAGGGTCTCATGCTGGATACAGACACATACAGCGCCCTGGTCAAGACGTTACAGAGAGACTGTTTGGTAAGTTCTCCCTAGTGTGCTGCTGTCAGAGCGGACAAGCCATTCAGGACGAATATTGATGTGTTTTTGGTGTATAGGTCTTGGAAAGCTTTAAGATTATGGATTATAGTTTGCTGCTGGGAGTTCACAACATCGATCAGGCGGAGAAAGAGCAGCAGATGGAGGGATCTCAGGGCAACAGTGATGAAAAGAGGCCGCTGGCACAGAAAGCGCTCTACTCCACTGCCATGGAGTCCATTCAGGGAGCGTCGGCCTGTGGAGAAGAGATTGACACTGAGGACACGTGAGTTGCTGAAATTAGTCCATGTTTTGACACTTATAAAGGATATTTAAAAAACAATATGTGATGCATTTTCAGATATATCAAAAAATATGTATAAGTAACAGGGATGCAATTACAAAATTGTAATACTATTTTAATTTCTTTTAAAAACTCTAAATTTGTATTTGTAATCTTTAGAAAATCTGGCGAAAAATTCGAAAAATCGAAGTCCCATCATGTTAGATATCCTGTTTCATCTGCAAGTGCATTTATGGAAGCTAAAGGATTGCAAACAACAAATTCATGTTTACTTTTTTTAGAAGTCAGAATTTTTTTGTTGTTGTTGGTGTGTTTTTATTTGTTTATATTTATACTTTATCAGTCAGTATTTTCTCTTTTTTCTTTCTCATTTGGGAAATGCTTTTCAGCATGTTTCTATTTTTATTTTGCCTAAATAAATTGAAAATTGAAAAGGATGAATTTGTGTTTGTATATATATATATATATATATATATAACTTTTCAACATGTTTCTGTTTTTGCCTAAATAAGTAAAATATGTTTTTTCCTTTAAAAACCGTGTTTGTAATCTTTATAAAATCTTGATAAAATTAGGTTTTCAGTTAGAGATCCTGTTTCATCTGGAAATGTGTCACATTATAGAAGTAAATAACCTGCAAACAACAAATTCATGTTTACTAACCAAAAGGTGAACAAAGACAGTTTCCTTTTGTGTTTTCTGTTTTGTTTTGATCTTATTTTCATTTTATTTTGTTTGGTTTTATTTCATATTTATATAAACACAGATTTTTAGAAGTGAACAAAGAGATTATTTGTTGTGTTTGGTTTTTTGTTTTGTGTTTTCTCTGTTTTAATCTTAATTCTTTCTTTTTTTTCATTTCATGTTTATTAGCTATTTTTCTTCTTAAAGTATTTATTTATTTTTATTTTATTTAGCCAACTTTGGGAAATACTTTTCAGCACTGTTGCAATTTTATTCCCAAAGGTATAGCTACACATTTAATTTCAGTATTGAGCAAGATTTAGACTTTTTTTTTTTTTATGCTTTCATAGTTATTTATTTTCATATGTTTTTTTGTTTGTTTTTTGCTTGTCAGGATGGGCGGTATTCCTGCAGTCAATGGAAAAGGAGAGCGTCTGTTACTCTACATTGGAATAATTGACATCTTGCAGTCTTACAGGTGCTTGCGTCAATCTCTCCAACTCATGCCACTTACTATTTACATCAAGAAGTGTGTGATTCATTTCTGCCAGTATGATTTGGAAGCAGTATGGAATAACTTTATTCATTTTCTGTTTAGGTTAATAAAGAAATTGGAGCATACGTGGAAGGCTCTAGTCCATGATGGGGTAAGAAATACATTGAATTTCATTATATTATCTAGATATATTATCTATATTATCTATTATCTAGAAAAGACCTTCTGAAATACATCACTGTCCCTTGCAAGACACTCCATTTCATCACTTTGGAAGAAAAGCTTTGGCCAAGTTAACATCCAGCTGTGTTTTCAGACTCTGTGGTCTCCGACCTTCAATATAATTCCTCATACTTCCTTCATTTTCATATTAATAAAACATGATCTGCTCCGGTACATTAGCATGAATGGGGTTTAGTGAGAATTACAGGGTTTTGAAGGAAATGCTTGTGAAATGTGCACTAATTTGGGGCTGTTTTTCTCAGAGGATGTGCTAATTGTGCTATTGCTGGATATGCATATACCACACACACGCACACACTAATTTTTCTCTCGGCTCAGCTGTGAATAAAGGAGATTTCTCCAACCCTGCCTGTGACGCAACAGTCTACGCCATACTGCCAATGGCTCACGGTTCATTTGCATGCTAATTAGGTTATTTATAGACCTAGAACTGGTATATCTTGATTGCGTCAGCTGGAGGTGACAGATAGAGTATATATTACCTAAAAGCTGACTGGTTGACTCCAGGAATAATGGATGTTAAACTGGAAACTGACATGAAAAATGTGTAAATATGATTTTAATTTGGACTTCACCTGTCCAGTTGAGCATATGTATAATGTATAATGCAAATGAATGCATGTTTTTGTGTGATTTATATGTGTGAAGTAAACAAATGTGACAGGTTCAGTGCTAGTTAAGCTCTATGACAGAAGTTCTGGCACAAATTACCACAGGATCATGATTTTGATTTGAGAATCACAATTTGATTTAAAGCCTGCATGAAGATTATTAGTTCTGAACAAACTGTTGTTTTCCATTTTGTCAACTGGAATAAGTCAGAATGTGCTGTAACTTTTCAGATTGATTGATTGAGATGGTTCACTTATTCTTTCTTTCTTTTTTTCACTCTTCAGGACACAGTGTCTGTTCACAGACCGTCTTTCTATGCAGACAGGTTCTTCAGATTCATGAGCACTACTGTATTCAGAAAGACTTCCTGTGAGTGAATTGCTTCTGAGTTGAACTTGCATTGCTCAATTTCACAGATTAATTTCATATTCTGCATGAAAAGTTACTGTTAAAGTAATAACGATGCATCGATATGAAGTTTTGGCTGACGCCAATAAATATTTATTTTATTAACCAATAATGGATAAATGGTTCTTGATAAAATTCTATAGTATTTGGTCTAAATAAATTAATAAATAAAACTTTAAAATTAATAATTTAAATGCTACAAATGAATTTAGGCATCACAGCATTTTAATGTACAGTAGAAAAATGGATATTCAATTGGTTATTAAATTATATTGTGAAATACTAAAATTTATAAAACTGAAAAAATAATAATAAATCAAAGCTATGTAGAAATATAAAAAACTAGAGAAATATTTAAAAAAACAAAAAACCAAAAGCACAACAAAATTACTAAAACTAACTACATTTAAACTGAAATTAAAACTGAAAATATAAAAATAAACCTAATTCAAAATCTTAACAAATATTATAATAGTATAGAAATAATACTAAAATAGCACTGCATACAACAAAAGCATAACGTGAACATGGGCTATCAAACAGACAAAATTATTAGTTTTTTAAAGATTAACTTTAAGTGGTCAAAGTTAGAACCATTAGATATTGGCAAAGGTAATCTGAATTTTAAAAAGAGAAAATGAGCATGTACGAGTAAATATCTGGTATTGATCGGTTTTAAAAAGCTGTAATATCGGCCGATAAATAGTTTTTAAAGATTAACTTTAAGTGATTAAAGTTAGAAGCATTAGATAATGGCAAAGGTAATCTAAATTTTAAAAAAAGAGGAAATGAGCATGTACAAGTAAATGTCTGGTATTGATCAAATGTAAAAAAAATTAATATTGAATGATTACTGATCAAGTGTTTTTAAAGATTAACTTTAAATGATTAAAGTTAGAAGCATTACATAATAGCAAAGGTAGTCTAAATTTAAAAAAGAGGAAATGAGCATGTACAAGTAAATGTCTGGTATTGATCAATTTGAAAAATTTGAATAAATTGCCGATATATTGTGCAATCCTATGAAAGTAAAAAGGTATTTTAAAAGTGACGGCTAAAATTTATATGACACTTATGTCACCAAATAAAAAGACAGTTAGTTATTACCTATTGGCTATCATACTTGATATTTATTTTTAGAGAAAAACGAAAGCCACAGTAGTTCCGGCGTGACGCAGCTGACACAGAACGGCATACGTTGTTTACGTCCAGCTGATATTCTCCAAAATGGCGCTACAGGGTGATGCGGAGGAGATGAATTGTTAAATAAAGTCGTTTTTTTTTTTTCTTTTGCGCACAAAATGTATTCTCGTAGCTTTGTAAAATTACGGTTGAACCCCTGATGTCACATGGATTATTTTACATATCTCCTTGCTTCATTTCTGGGTCTGGGAACATTTCAGTTGCGTTGCTGTCTATGGGAGGGTCAAACAGCTCTCAGATTCCATCAAAAATATCTTAATTTGTGTTCCGAAGATGAACAAAGGTCTTACGGGTTTAAAACGCCATGATGGTGAATAATTAATGACAGAATTTTCATTTTTGGGTGAACTATCCCTTTAATGAAAGGAGAACTGTTAGTTATGTAGTTCATATGGTTTAGTTGAGCCCTCTGCTGGTCTTGTTGTAGAATGCAGGATGAGGACCAGCAAACCATCACAGTGGAGGTGGAAGTGGAGGGACGATATGACAGTGAACCCACCCTCACGGCTCCCCAGGTATCGCCGGAGATCAGGTACGCACTCAAAATTGAGAATCTGCTTTCACGTAATATTTAATATTTACTTATGAAAGCCAGATATTGTTGGACATATTGAAAAAAAGGTCTTGGTGAAGTGTAATTGAATTAAGGGCAAGTAAAAAAAAAAGATGATTTAAATGCAAATGCATTGCCGCTAAATCAAAAGCAGTGTTGATGTAAGATCAAGGGTATCATGGGAATGAGGAATTAGATGTGCTCCATTCAGCTGAGCTCACCTGCTGTAGCTCCTCATAGTGATGGGAAAATGACACCATGACAACTGCCACAGAGGAACATAACCAAACAAGAAGCGCTTGATCACATTGGCAATAAGTACCCAAATGTTTTTGTGTTAGTCAGGACCAGTGGCAATATACCCAAAAATTTAATTTCTATAATAAATAGTAAAACATGAAAGTATAATTAAATTGATTCCTTCTTTATTTAAATAGTATTTATTTATTAGAAAATATGTATTATTTATTCGTCCTCGTTTTACAGCAAATCAATGTGACTTTTGAACCTTTGAAGATATTTTGAAGAAATTTCATGCTGCACACTTCCATACAAATTGCGTAGCATTAAATAAAACTAAAACTATAAAAAAATAGTTTTCGGGGATTGATTGAGCTAAAAAAAATAAAGTAAAATAAATATAATATATATATTAGTTGAAAAGCTTAAACTTAAAAAACTTAAAAATGAGAAACAGAAATAAACACGTTAAAGTACTAAAATTACACACAAAAAAACTGAAATAAAAATCAATTAAAGCTGTATCGAAATATATATTAAAAAAAATAATAAAAATGACAAAGGTGCATAACAAATTTACTAAAATGTAAACAACAATTAAAATGATAACTGAAAATATAAAAATGAAAGCTAATTCAAAATACTCATAAAAAATGTAAATGTCTATAAATAATTCTAATATAGCACTGCATACATCAAAAGTATATAGTGACCATGGGCTGACAAATGGATAAAAAAGCACCAAAAAAGTGGCCCATAAAATTTAGACTCTATATTCCAACTTTTCTAAAGAGTGAATTGTATGGTTTATTCACTGAAAATCTCTAAATTGTTTTTTATTTTCCTCTTCCACATGTATAGTGAAGCTGCAGAGACGTTTCTAGAAGCCTCGTCGTCCTCCATCCCGGCGAGCCCCAGGATAGTGGTAGAATCTGACGGTGGCAGTCAGGCCTCAGGCTGTACGAGCCGAGCCTCTGTGGATGAGGATGAGGATGTGCCAATTACAGACATTTATTTTGTAAGCCCTCCACTCCTCTGAACTAAACATATGTGTTTTTAATAATGTTATGAAGCATTTATATAGAGTAAGAACCACCTAAGGTCAAAACATAGAACATAATCAGATGAGTATGCACTGCAAAATATCATATTTTTTGTCTTGCTTTCCAATAAAAGTATTTAAACATTCTTAAACATGATACAGCTTTTCAATTAACATATTAAGACTTATTAAGAGAAAAGTTTATTTTTTGTAATCCATAGTCAAATATGTTTTCTACTTTTTTAAAGTAGTTTTTAAACTCTAACAATATTTAGTGAGGTTTATAGTTAAAATATATTTTATAAAAAGCCAATGCCGTAACTTTAAAATTCATTTATATGTATCTTGATTAAAGGATGTTTATATATTTTAACTCAAAAAAATCCCATAAGAAACTGTATATTGCATAAAGAAAAATGAAGCCTGTTTTAGATCCAGTAACATTTTTGCATTATTTTTATGACAATATTTTCAGAATATTTTCCCTCTAATTCACATTTACGTGCTCATTACTGTCATGCAAAAATAATATTATTTAAATTGTAAAGGATGTATACATCATGGTAGTATTTGCTATATTTTTTTAATTGATGCTGGTTCTATTTTTTGTTAATGTAATTACAGTTACAAGTATGTCAAATATATAAAAATTTAATAGAAAAATATTTAAACATTTAATAAAAATTTAAGGGGTTTTATGCCTAACTGTAATGAAAGTAATGTCACAGCAGTAATAAAAATAAGACTTTTAGATTGTATTCATGTAAAATGTAATTTCCTTTTGGGGTTAAATACGACCATGACATGTTCTTGATAGACTGTGAGATTCATCCATTAGTAAACAGTGCTAATGCGACCATTGTTGGATTACTGGTAACTAAAGGAAACATCTCCAAAACTAGACAGAATCTCACAGAGGGTCTCTGTTGGCCTGTGGGTGGGTGTTTGTGTGCCGAGGTGTTAGGAGCTCCGCTGGGTCTTTATTTTCATCTTCTGCATGACAGTATAAGACCCATTGAAATGAAGTTCCAGTCCTCTTATTTATTGCTAAATGCTGAGGATATCATTGTATGTGTAAATTTTGAACACCAGTACAATAGACACATTCTGACCCATGAATGACAAAACACATGGACGTGCCAATGCATCCACAGGGATGTCTCAGAGGACAAACTGAGAAATGGCTGTCATTATCATTTGTTAGTCCCAAAGAGGCTCTTAAACCTAGAGGCCTAGAGACGGACAAGCGCAACCTCTTGAATTATTCATCCATTAACACCCTGCACCAGCTGCTCCGTCGCTTTTTTTCTCTTATTAATGGAGCTGTCAATTTTTTCATTTATCGACTGCTAAACAGCACTCCATATCCTTGACTTTTTCATTACCTTTCTGCCATCTTTCATTGCCTGCCGTCTCTGTTTGTCCATATCTCTTTTGTAAGTTCTCTGATGGCAGCGTCTGTGTTTGTCAGCCCGTCACACACAGAAGAAGGCACGCTGTAAGTTTTATAGCTGGAACACTTTAAACTAGTTGTAGAGGTAGTTTTAGAAAAGTTAGCCTCTGAAGTTTAGACTAGTGTAGCTTTTTGTAACCCTTGACTGTTAAACAGGATGTTGTTGTTACTGTACCTTTAAGACTTCTGTATGCAAATGAGCCAACATAAATGTGAAATTGTTTTGAAAACTTAAATATATTTTAGCTAGTTTCCAAGGCAACATTTCTCCTTTTCATTTAGTTTAATGGGTTAGTTCACCCAAAAATGAAAATTAGCCCATGTTTTACTCACCCTCAAAGCATCCTAGGTGTATATGACTTTCTTCTTTCAGACGAATCCAATCAGAGTTATATTAAAAATTGTCCTGGCTCTTCCAAGCGTTAGAATGGGAGTAGGTGGGTGTTTTTGTTCAACAGTCCTTAAGTAGTCAAATAAAGTGCGCACATCCATAATAAAAACGTACCTCACACGGCTCCGGGGGGTGAATAAAGGCCTCCTGTAGCGAATCGGAAAATATCAATATTTAAAAAGTTTTAAAGATTTTTATCTCACTTTCGCTGACTGTCGTACGCAGAAGCCGTTCCTGGCGGATGGCGTCGCGCACGCGCCTCTGAGATATGCTAAGGTGCGTCTCAATCAGCTCCCTAGCTCCCGAGCTTGTGAATCAGTAGATCGTGTACACGAATGCGGGCACTGGTAAGTTCCCTGACTCACTGCACGTTAGGACAGTGATCACTCGAATTCCAGTGACATGATTACGTACAGCGTCAAAGGACAAAATAGTAGAACGTCACTGCTTGAATTAATAAACAACAGACAGGACCGATCTCTTTTTGATATTATTTTTTATTCTCTTTAAACACATCGTTCTGTTACATGTTCTTACAACATTTCAGCCGAATATTAATTATAAATGTTAATTAGATGTGTTCAATTCCTGTCTAGCAATGTGCGTTTATGTTGAAATATACGAATTATGTTGAAAAAAACAGTTGGTCTTTTCAAATCTTCTATAGCGTGTCATTATATTTATCGAGTTGGCTCGTGTGATTTATGTTTTACGCTTCAGAAATGTGACGTTATTTCCGGTAAGGGAGCATAGTGAGCTCCGATGCTCCCTAGTTTTTGCGGTGCATTGTGGGATTTTTCAGGGAG